TGTCGGCGCACCCCTCACACATTCCGTGGCCCCATAGGGAGCTCCGAGCTCCCGCACGCGGTTCCACCCTGCATTCCGGTGCACCCCTCACACGTTTCGCGGCCTTGCATGGGGCTCCACCGACGGCTCTGGTGGCAGTGTCCACATGGCGTACCCGTGCTAATTTTTGGCACACCCGTCACACGCGTCGTGGCCCCAGAGAGAGGTTCACCGAGGACGATACCCACAACTGCGTTACTCACAGCTGCACCTGCTTGGGTCCTTCGCCAGAATAATAGTGCCACTCTACTCGTCACGTGTAAATCCAGGGGAGCGAAACAACTACTGCTCCACTCCCCCTGCCACGTGGCAGCGCTCGGAGGGGGGAAACACATACTACTCCACTGTACTCCCCACGTGGCAGCGCCTGCGAAGCGAAACATAATTACTCCACTCTACTTGGCACTTGGCAGCGTCGCGGGGGGGCAACAAATGCTATTCCTCTCTACTCGCCACATTGCAACGCCACTTGGCAAGGCCTGAGAGGTAAGCACAAATACTATCCCACTCCACTTGCCACTTGGGATCGACATGGGAGCCAACAATAAACAACACTCCACTAAACTCATCACGTAACATTGCCGCGGCGAAATCTTCCGGGCGACCTTTTCCTAGAGGATTTTGTTCGGGGCGATTTCATCCGGGCGACTTCTTCCGATAGGAATTCTTCTGGGGCGACTTCTTACCTATTCCGGACGACTTCTCTTCTTTACATCAACCGCCACCGCCGCGGCCGCCGCCACCAACCGGCCTGCCCGCCCGCCCGCCCGCCTGCCCGCCCACGCGCCCGCCTGCCCGCCCGTCCGCGCGTGCGCGCCCGCCCGCCCGCCCGCGCGCCCGCCGCGCGCGCCACGTGGCTACGCTAGGGATGCGAAACAGATGCTGCTCCACTCCCCTTGCTACGTGGCAGCGCTCGGAGAGGGAAACAAATACTACTCCACTGTATTCGCCACGTGGCAACGCCTGAGCACGTGGCGATGAAGCGGGCCGGGAACGTATGCGACTCCACTCTACTCGCCACATGGCAACGCCACGTGCCAAGGCCTGAGAGGCAAACGAAACAAATATCCGGGCGAAATGCCCAACCATATGCGGTGTGAAAAACCCACCCATATGCAGTTGTGAATACCTTCGGTGGAGCTCACTAGCCGCATGCGGACGCAGCCGCTGTGGCCTTCAGTGGGGCGCGCCGAAATGGCTGTGGAACCGCATGCGGACACAGCCACTGGGGCCTTGGGGTGGAGCTCCCTACGGGGCCACGAAGCGTGTGAGTGGTGAGCAGACATGGGGGTGGAACCGCATGCGAACGCAGCCACTGGGGCCGTCGGCGAAGATCCCTATGGGGCCACGAACTGTGTGCGGGGTGTGCCGAAATAGGGGCAACCACATGCGAATGCATCCGCTGGGGCCTTCGGTGGAGCCCCCTATGGGGCAACGAACCGTGTGGGGTGTGTGCCGATTTGGCGATGGAACCACATGCGAACGCAGCTACTGGGGCCTTCGGTGGAGCTATCCATGGGGCCACGAAGCGTGCGAGGGATGTGCCGAAATGAAGGTGGAACCGAATGCGAACGCAGCCACTGTGGCCTTCGGTGGAACTCCCTATGGGGCCAGGAAGCGTGTGAGGGGTGTGCTGAACTGGAGGTGGAACCGCATGCGATCGCAGCCACTGGGGGCTTCGGTGGAGCCCCTTACGGGGCCACGAATCGTGTGAGGGGTGTGCCGACATGGCGGTGAAACCGCATGCGGACGCAGCCACTGGGGCCTTCGGTGGAGCTCCTTGTAGGGCCACGATGCGTGTGAGGGGCGTGTGGCCATGGCGGATGCGAACGCAGCCGCTAGGGCCTTCGGCGGAGCTCTCTATAGGGCCACTAAACGTGCGAGGGGCGCGTCGAAATGGCTGTGGAATCAGATGTGGACGCAGCCACTGGGGCCTTGGGTGGAGCTCCCTACGGGGCCACGAAGCGTGTGAGTGGTGAGCAGAAATGGGGGTGGAACCGCATGCGAACGCAGCCACTGGGACCTTCGGTGGAGCTCCCTATGGGGCCACAAAACGTATGAGGGGTGTGCCGACATGGTAGTGGGGAGGATGGAAGAGCGGGAGGAGGAGGGGAGGAGGAGTGGAGAGGAGAAGAGAGGAGGAACGCAGGGCGTTGCCTCTTCAAGACGAGGACCCAACACCACAGGATGGTTGGGAACTATGCCACTCCACTCGCCACGTGGTAACGACATTGGAAGCGAACACGATACATACACATATATATATATATATATATATATATACATACATACATACAAGACTGCAGTGGCGCTTCACGCCATGCACCTTGGTCCTTGAAGTTTGGTATGCAGGCGGAATAGCAAGAAGGTCAAGCCGACAATTTAGCGATAACTCCTGGTTGCCTCTTCTGGCATCGCCGCTATAATAATGTTATCCGTTATCCTTCCTCCATGTTTCTTTTTCCTTATTTTCGCCATGCCCTGCGCATTCTCCCCATCCTCCTCAGCTCTTTTTTGCGGAGGCTCCTCCTTGGAGAGCTTCTAGGGGCCTCACAAAAGTTGTTTCAGGCTTTCTTAAGGCCTTCTGCAGACCTCCTGGGCGTATTCTGGGGGCCTCCGGGGGCTTCCTCGGACCACCCTGCCTCCAACCGCGGTCTCCCTGAACGACCGAATCACTTTTTGGAATTCTTCGGAGGGTGTCTTTGGGCCATCTTGGGCCGCCATGGGGCTCTCGGAGGGCCACCTTGGACCCGTGTTGTGCCGTTTTGGGGCTCTCTTGGACTGCCTGGAAGCCCTTTCGGGTGGTTGTGGGGCGATTTTGGAGCCTCCCAGGCGGCTTCGGACGCCCAGAAGACCGCCGTCTTGGAGCGTCGGGAAGCCGAAAAGAGGAGAACCCTAAAATTCACCAAAAACCAACAGAAAATCAATGGCCTCTTTGGGGCCGTCCTGGAGGCCTCTTGGGCCATCTTGAGGTCACGTAGGTCACTCTTGGGGCGCTCTTGTGCTGTCTTGGGGGTCTCTGGGACGTATCCGATGACCCCCCTGATCGCCCTAGGTGTGCTGGGAAGGCTTGGCAAAACGCCATGTGAGGCCCGGTGGCCGCTTCGAGGCCCGTCTGGAGGGTCCCAAAGCCCCAGATCCCGGGAATCCGTTTTTTTTTTGGGGGGGGGGACGGTTTTTCCCCCGCCCGGGCTTATACAAATATAGGAAGAGGAATATATATATATATATATATATATATATGCTATACTCATCACGTGGCGATGCCAAGGCAAAATCTTCTGAACGACTTCTTCCGAAAAGAACTTTCCAGAGGCGATGTCATCCAAGCGACTTCTTCAGATAGGAGTTCTTCCGGGGCGACTTCTTCCGGGGCGACTCCTTCCAAGGTGATGTCTTCCAGGCGACTTTTTCTGGGGCAACTTATTCCAGGGTGACTGGGCGACTCACGTCGTCGTCGTCGTCTGTCTCTTGCTCTCTCTCTCTCTCTCTTTTACATTATCCTCGAAGAAACTTCTTCGACGCATGAAACCACACATGCATCCTGGGAACGACGCCGGCTAGTTCGTCCAAGGAAAAGTCTTCTGGGCGACTTCTTCCAGCGGGCTTCTTCCGGCCGACTTGTTCCAGAAACGACTTCTTCCGAAGCAATTTCTTCCAGGCAACTTCATCCTGGAGGCTTCTTCCTGGCAACATCTGCAGGAAGAAAATCGTTTCGGAAGAAATCGTTTCGGAAGAAGTTGTCGTCTCTATCCTCCACCTCGTCACTTCATCCTCATCCAGTTTCTCGATTTTCTCACCGAGCCCCACTTGAAAAGCTGATGTACAAAGCACGATGGCATGCCACACAACATGTTGCGTTACGACAAGCACCCCGGATCCTCTCACTCATCCCCCCTGTCATTCCTTCTGTCACTTCGCTTCCCTTCAAATCTACCGAAGTATGCACGTCCTGGTCGGTTCGGGCAGTAAGGGTTCGCTGGACGGCCCCTCCCCCAGGAGAGCCAAAGCTCCGAACTCATCACATGCCAAACATGCGTAGTTAGACGCCCTCTTGTCACCACCCCCCTCCCCCTCCTCCTCCCTCCTCCCTCCTCAACCACTTCGTGCATACCAGAGTCGCAGTCACCCTACCACATACAACCATCGTATGAGGAACGCTGGACAAGGAACGATGGAGCCTTTCTGTCCACGGCAAACCTTGGCCAACCATAGGCTTCCCAAACTATAGAGAGCGGCCCAGACACCAAAGAAACTCCCCGATTATGGTAAATTAGTGTCGTGACGATTTGCACGTTGGTTTCTGACACCGTGCTGATCGCTCAGCCTTGCACGATCGCGGCTCTGCGATCGCGCAGATCCTTCGATGTTTGCCCATTTCGGGCCCATGGCGGCGTTCAACTTTCAATGCCCGCGCAGGGTCGCGCCGGGTCGACACAGAGCCAACCTGCCGCACCCCCGGCGCAAAGTGCACCGGACTTCTGGGCAATTCGGGACTGAACTTTCACGTGCTACGGCCGGTGGTTCTCTGCGCCCCGAGAAAGACAACCATCACATGTCAGACGTGGCCGCCTCTGCGGACTGCAGAGGAGCACGCCGCGAAAAAATGGCTCTGGGGTCTGGCGGGCGTCGTCCTTTCAAGGAGATCTCCAGAAAGTCTCCGAGCAGATTACTGCGCTGGCATATCGCGGGCACCTGGACACGACGGGGCCCGAACGATGCTTGCAGCATGTCGCAAGAAGGGCACCGGGGCTCTGGAGACCCCTGGCGTTTTTTCGGTGGGGGCTCCGTGGCTCCCTGAAGTGAAGTTCTGAAGTCTGTCTGGCGTAGTGGCTCTGATCTCTGGACGATTTCGTGGAGGACGAGATGCGGAGCTGCGCGGCAATACACGACCAAGCAGAATGCCAGCCACGCGGCCGTGCTTTGACAATCAATCTTGCAACGCAATCTTCAAACTGGGCTCCCCAGAGGCCGAATATCAAGACGATGGCGCAGGCGCCGACAAACAACATCGCCTTGCGAGTGGTCAGAAGCTGGAGCACGTTGACATCTTCCGCCAAGTCAGCTGGTCCTCCCAAGCCGAGGCGCTTCAGCACGCGAATGCTGCGCAAGAGAAGCAACAACCTGGGCGATCAACTGTCGCCCGACCCCATGTGGCCTCCCGATGGGGAAACAACATCTGATCGGATCAGAGAGTCACGCCGACGCTGGGTCTGTCATCTCGGCGAGTGGTATCTCTCGCTTGCCTCATCCTGCTCCATCCTTTTTCCTTATGGGCAACGAATTCCCTTCGCCATACCAGCTGACATGCCAGAGGGCGGGCACGGCGTTTCGCGTGAGTCCTTCACTGTTTATGATCCTGAGATCGGCAGCCCCGAGTGCTTCAAACATAGAGGGCAAACTAATCTCAAATCAGACTATGACCTTAGCGCCACAAGCAATTTTGCTCAACGCCCCCGCCAGCTGCAAGAATTGAAGGCGGCCCATTTTCAGAATGTAGCTCTCGCCTTGGCACCGTGCGTATTCTTTTCAACCGCTTCCCACATACAAATCATACACCATGTGGCTCCTACGTTCGCCCCGTGCACATTCGTCCCGCAACTTTCGGCCAATTACAAGGGTGCAGGGCAGGTCATTGACACAGTGAAGCTCTCGCGCTTGGAGTTTGTCACAGGGCCATTCACACTAGGAAAACCACCTCTGAATGCGGCCCGAAAACCCTCCGAACATTGCCATTACCCCAAAAGGTCGCCGAATCCCATGCTCAACAGAGCATCGACAGCCGCCCCGTGGACTCACCCGCTGAAAGGGACCATAGTACTTGTGTTGCCCCCATCAGAACAACCCGCCTGCATTAGTGGAAGTGCTGTTTCGGAAGCTCACTGGAACCGAAGCGGACGTAGCCAACGGATTTTAACCAGCACCGCGCAGAGGCCAGCGTGCAGACTGTCCCTACACAGACGCCAGCGCAAATATTGCCATACCTAGCACACCACATCTACCATACCAGACCTATTGTACCAGACATGCTGTACCACACCTGCCAAACCATTTCTGCCATACCATACCTACCATACCATACCTATCACACCACACGTACAATACCATGCAGCAATTATCATACCTAACATGCCATACCCACCACACCACACCAACCGCGCCATACCTACCATGCCATACCTACCACACAGTACGCACCACACAGTACCTACCGTATAACAACTACCACAACACACCAACCATACCATACATACCGTGCTGCACCTACAAGCCATAACTACCAGGCAACGCCTACAATGCCATACCTTCCGCACGATACTCACCATGCAAGACATACCATACCATACATCTCATACAACACCTCCCATACCATCCCACTCCTACCATACCTTCCATACCATACCTGCCAAATCATACCTACCATACCATACCTACCACTCCTATGGGCGCTCGTGTAGGAGCGCTTCCATGCATCCCTACACAAGCGCTGCGCAATTTGTACCCGGCTGAAACAACTCTCCCCTGCTCTCCCGCCCTGACCCCGACGCCGACGCATTCGGCGACGGCCGCGCCAGACGCCGACGACGCCCTGACGAGGAGAGTACACTTTTGTAAACCTTGGTCATGGTGTGACCCGGGGCTGCGACTGAAGAATAAGAACATTCCGCATTTCATTGTCCGGGCCACGATGACGAAGACGACGACGACGACGAGTACGAAGACGACGACTACGACGACCAAGTGTACTACGACGATGACGACGACGAGTGCGACGAGTACGACGACGACTACGACGATGAACGACAAAGACGACGTCGAGTTCCAAGCTTTTTCTCATCCTCGTTGCTGAGTTGCCTGGGGCTGCGCTCGAACTGTGACGCGAATTGTTGCCCGAAGTGTTGTCCGAATTGTTGCCCGAAATTGCAGAGCGTCCGAATGCGAGCCAGTTCGTTCGCATGGGAAGCCCGACAATTCGGGCAAAGATATCGGGCAGGAAGCCAGGCAGCAATTCGGGCACCAATGCGGGCGGCATTTCGGGCGCCATCAAAGCGGGAGTTCCGTCGCCGCCGTCGCTGTCGCCGTCGCTGTCGCTGCCGCCGCCGCCACCGCCGTCGTCGTCGTTGGCGTCGTCGTTCCACCGCCGTCGCCGTCGCCGCCATCGCCTTCGCCGTCGCCGTCACCGTCGCCGTCGCCGTTGTCCTTGCCTTCGCCCTCGTCGTCGTCCTCGGTGGGGCCGTCCCGCCGCCGCCGTCGCCGTCGTCGTCGCCGCCATTGCCGTCACTATCGCCGTTGCCGTCGCCGTCGCTGACGCCGTCGCCGTCGCTGTGGCTGTCGCCATCATTGTCGTCGTCGTCGTCACAGTTGCAGTCGCCGTCGTCGTCGCCATCGCCGTGGCCGTCGTGCTCGTCCTCGTCTTCGTCCTGGCGGGGGGGTCGCCGTCGTAATCGCCACATCCGTCGTCGCTGTCGGTGCCATCCCGATGGGCGTCGGTGCCGTACTCCCAAGGTGCCGCTGGTCCGTGCGAGGCGCCTAAGTCGCCATCGTGGTCATCTTCATCTTCGTCTTCGCTATCGCCGCGGCCGCCCGTTGCCGGGTCGTTGCCGTCGCCGTCGCCTTTGCAGTGGTGGTCGTCGTCGTCGTCGCAGTCGTCGTCGTTGTGCTCGTCGTACTCGTCGTGCTCATCGTCGTCGTTGTCGTCGGGGTCGTCTGTGTGGTGCCGTCGCAGCTGTTCCATTCCTCGTCGTCGTACTCATCGTACTGGTCGTCATACTCATCGTCGGGGTCGTAGGGGGATCGCTGTCGCAGTTGTCGCACGCATCCTCGTCGTCGTGGTCGTCGGGAATCTAGCGCATCACGACTGCGAAGCAAAATAATACAGGTCTCGAGACGGGTCGTCGTCGTGTTCGTCGTCGTCGTCGTCGCCGTCGCAGTTGTCGTCGTCGTGTGGTCGTACTCCTCGCGCTCGTCGCGCTCATCGTCACATTCGTCATCATTGTCGTCGCCCCTCGCCCTCTATATCGCCTTCCGTCTCTCCGCCCTACTCACGTAAAACAAATCATTTTACGTTCCGGTCCTCCCCCTCGTCGTCATCATTCTGAAAGTCGTCGTAACACTCTTATCTTCATCATCACTTCTCTCCTCGTCGCCACCGGCACCACACTGCGGCGCCTGGGTCGTGGCGACCCCACAATCGAAAACATCTCGAGCAATCGTTAAATTCGATATACGAAAGGCACGTGCTGTGAAAATTGCACACACATTACAGCAGGAAGTGTTTACTTGTACCGTTTCGTGGGTTTCCTGCACTGGTTCCTGTGCCGCTTCGCGGGTTTCCTTCCGACGCCTGCCTGGCCCGTAGCTCCTCGTAGCCCCGCTGGGATTCGGTCTTCTCGTCGCTCGCCGGTGCAGGACCTCGTTGATTTTGCCAATGCTGGCACGGTGTCTGTGCGGCGGGTAGGTGCGCGATGCCTTGTGCCCCCCTGGGGGGCGGTGGATTGTTCGCCGCTTGGCCAGGCACAGCTACGCATGTGCGCTTCCTGTCCAAATCCCAAAGTATGTTAGGCATGCGCCCTTCATTTCAATCGGATAATCACCATATCCCACGCATCTGTGCCTCGACTTGTACAACATTTTCCACGCATTCCCTTTCCCTCCCCCCCTTCCCGCGCGCTCCCCTGTCACTCTTTCTCGCTTCCTTCCGTCCTCCCGAACCCTGCCCCGCGAGCGTGGCGGCATGGGCTGTTCAAAGCGGGTCACACTCACCCCTCGCGCCACGCCTTGGGGCGGCGTGCTCCCGCCAGCGTTTCCCTGGGCGGCGCCGCCAGTGAGAGCGCTCCGCGCGCCCGGCCGCGCCCAGCGGCGGGGGGTGCGGACTGCGGAAAATAGAAACTTAGAACACATTCGAAGTTCGATGTAGGACCCAGCGTGTAAAGTGGTGTGGGAAGTATACAACAACAGCGCGCTCCTCTTTTAAGGGGGTACTGCCCGCAGTGATGCGGCATGCCTTTAAGGGTATACGCGGAGGAGTCATCCTCCCCACCCTGCGCTATAAAACCTTACAGCCTCCTAGAATCCACGGGCTTTATTTATAAATTTTTGTATATGCACACATATATAAAGCCCTTTCAAAACATCATCCCCCCCTGCTCCGTCCTCCTCTGATTCAGCCACCGATGGACTTCCGCGAATTCGCCCGACCCCACTCGCGCCCAACGGGTCACAGGTGTGGGGCCTTCTGGTGTAAGCGGCGCAACTCACAGAAAACACAACACATGTCGAGTCGGCCCCTGAGGACCATCCGACGACCCGCGAGGAAAAGCAAACCCGCGGGGCCCCGTTGAAAAGAAGCGGGAGAGACGCGCACCTCGTTTTGCTAAGTCCACCGTGGCGGCGGTGCGCGCCGTCCTTGGTGCCGGCGCCTGGGCCCTTGTGCCCGGGCGCTGGCCAGCGTGGCGACGGGGCGCCTACTCCCGCTTGGGCCACTGTGGCCTCAAGGGGGGCCAGCGCTCACGAGCGCTGCGTGCGGGTCGTCGAAGAGAGGGAAGCTCGGCGCGCCGTCGAGACAATAATGGCCTGAGCGCGCGCCCCCTTTTCTGAGACCTCGGTTAGGCGTGGGCCCGCGCGAGCAAACAAAAACCTTCGATCTAATCTGCCGCGCCGAACTGCCAATCTTAAGCGGCACAATTCGCATAACACACATGTCGAGTCAGCGCCACTCGATGACCCGCGGGGAAAAGCGGACCCGCAGGGCCCTGCGGAAAAGAAGCGAGATAGCCGCACGTCTCCTTTTGCTGAGTCCAGCGCGGCGGCGGCGCGCGCCGTCCTTGGCGCCGGCGCCCATGCAAATGAGACGGGGGGGGTGCGTCCTCGGGCTCGGCGCGGGCTCGCGGTCAGCCTTTCCCCGCCGAGGCCCGCGCCCGGCGGCGTCGACGGGGGCTAGCGCTGGCGCTGGGCCGCGCAATTATGCGCCAGCCCGCATTGCCGCCGCAGGCCCCTCCGGCCCTGCTGCACTATTAAGTCCCTGGCGCTGGCTGATAGATGCCCGTCGCCCCTCCCGCGGCGGCGGGCAGCGCTGGCGGCCCCAGCGGCCAGGGCCGCGGGCGTCGGCCTCCAGGCGGCGGCCGTAGCTGCGGAGCCGCCAGGCGGGCGACGAGCGCTACGAGCTGCTGGCCGTCTGCGTCCTCCGCGGGCCCAGCGGCGGCGGCGCCCAGGTCTGCCTGTTCTGGGCTGCCAGCGGCCTGTGGCCGGCGCCCCGTGGTCGTCGTGGCTGCGCGGGTTTCCTCCTCCTACGCCTTGGGGTCCCGGACGCGTCTCGCCTCGGCGCCCTGCGCCCGGGGCCGCTCTGCTTTCGGCGGGCGGCTGTCGGCGTGCAGCGAGGTCGTCCCTCTCGCCGCGCCAGCGGGGCCAGCGGCCGCGACCTTCGCCCCCTCGCTCGCCCCCCAAAAGGTGCTGCTCTGGCGCCCGAGGTTTTTGATCAGCTCCACGTCCGGGTAGATGTGGTAGAGGGCGGCAGCGCCTCCGATGCGCGGCAAGTGCGGTCGTATGCGCTTGGCGGGGAGGCCGTCTTTCTCGCCGCCTGCTCGAGCACCTTTTGCACCTCCTCGCGCATCGCTGGTGTCCCATTTCGCTGGCAGCAGAGCGGGAGATGCTTCTCGGTCGCGAAGCGCTCGGAAAAGTGCTGCTGCGCCCACTCCGCCACCAGCGCTGGGCAGAGACACTCGCCGGTGCGGCATTGATTGCGCTCCTCTCCTGCCGGCGGCTGGTCAGCCGTGGTCGTGGGGCAGCCTCCGCAGCGCGCTGCCACGTCGCCCCCGGTCAGCACCTTGTCGCGGCCCGAGCCGCTGCTCCAGACGCACTCCCCGACGCGCATCGGGGAGAACCAGGCCAGCGCGGGCCAGGTCACCGCGCGGTCGGGTACCTCTGCGGGGCGGTGCTTTGCTTGGATCAGCTTCGTCATGCGCGCCGCGGCAGGGGACTTCCGAGGGCGGGCGCCGTCTCGGCAGCGAGCCCCCCTTACACTAGCCAGACCCGCGGCTTGCCCGCCAGTGGGTCGCCAGCGCCGACTGCCGCGCGCGGGTGCATGATGCCGAGGGCGCGCTGCCGGACCCTCCGGAGGGCCTCCCTCATGGTCGCGCTCAGGTGTGCGAAGAAAAGCCGCGGCTGCTCCTCATCCTCGCGCCTTCCGGCCGCTGGAGCCCCCTGTCTCCCGAGAGCCGGCGGGCGCTCCCTGGCCCTGCAGAACGGCGCCCACTGCCGCCAGTTCTGCTCGCATACACGTGGCAGGTGCTGCCGGCCGCGGCCTCCGACGCCATCTGGGCCTGGGCGCTCTCGAGCTCCGCGAGGTAACGCGGTCCGCCGATCGGGGCGCCCCCCGCGCGGCGCGGTGGGCGCGCATCCGGCGAGCTCCCCGCGCGCCACAGCGGTCGGCTCCTCGCGGGGCGGCGCAGAAAGGCAGCGCCGCCGACGCGCCGCCGCCAACGTCGCGTCGATGTCTGTCATCTCCGACGCGCCCGAGGCTGCTCCTGGGGCGCGGGGGGGCTTGCGACTCGAACGGGGCGGGGCCCGGGCGGCCTCTGGCTGCTCCGCGAACGGCGCCGTCTCCGGGCCTGCGTCGTACGTCTTGACGTTGTCGAAGAAGCTGCCGCCGCCGCCGCTCCGCTCGCCCTCCAGGGTCAGGTGCCTGCGCGGGGTGAACGGGGGCGCCGTGTGGCGCGGCAGCAGGGCCCCCGCCGGCGGCGGTGGGGCCTTTTCTCTGTCTCGGCCGATGCCCGGCCCAGCTCCGGGGCGGCCAGCAAGAGGGGATCCTCCACCTCGCCTCTCCAATCTCGTCGACCAGTCCCTTGCGTGGCCTGGCCAAGATCTGGCCGATGCAGTCCAGCCCATGTCCAAACCAGAGAAAAGGGACATACCGATCCCCCCCGCCCAGGCGACGTGCCGCGTGTGGTCCAACGGCCACAATTGGCAGATTGGTCTGAGGCCTGGGGGCAGATTTGGGACACAGCAGTTGCAGGCTCGAGCTGCTGGAGGGCGGCGCTGCTCAGACAAATCCATCTAGAGATGGCCGCGCTACAAGGGTCCTCGCGGTGTGAGGTCCCGTGTGGCCTGGGACCGTTTTACGAGGCGCTTCAGCCGCAGCAGCTCTGGCAGGTAGGCGAGGGGGGAGGGCGCCCGCTCACGCGACAGAGTCGTAGCCCAGCCAGCGCAGGCTCCCAAGGGCTTCCTCGCAGGATGCAGCCAGAGCGTGGACATGCCAATGCTGGCGCTGTGGCAAACGCTGGCAGAACTGCACGCCCAGCACATCCCAGTGGATCCCCAAGGCAGGGTAGACGATGTGGCACAGGCGACTGCTGGCACGGAGCGAGACGTCATTGAAAAGACAAGGAGGGCGGCGACAACGTTCGCCAACCAGCGCATGGGGCAAGGCCTCCACAGATCGGGCAAGAGTACGTTAGTCTCCAACACACGCCTAGCCAAGGCTGTCCAAGCCAGGCCGCCGGAGGTCGATGAGTGGATGAGCGTCACATCGCAGGGTCACGACCAGTGGCAGCCAGGGGGCTGGAGGCGCAAGGCTTGGCACCCTCAGTGCTACTGAAGCTACGAGCACAGGTATCAGGGACGATAGGCCGAAAGGGAGGTGGGTGCGCAACTACCGCGAATCGTGTTATCTTTCCTGTGGCACATCCAGATCATATGATTGTCGGCAGGCTGCAACTGCTTAAAGAATGGCAGGCGCCCCCGCCGCGAGTCACGGAGGATCGCAGGCAGGCGCCTGAGAGAGCGCAAACGAAGGCCTGGACAGCGCTGCAGACAGCATGCAATAAATGAGGCCGCGTCAAGGGCGCGCTCCCCACCACAGTCGCCGCGCTGCAGGATCCAGGGTCCTCCTCAATCTCCCTGGCCTGGGCGGGGCCCAGATGGGGAAGAGACAGACCTAGAGAAAGGTGGCTGCCAGCGCGTGCTCGAGGACAAAGGCTATGTATGCTCTAGACCAGCAGGCTTGGCTTGCAGCGGCCAAGCACTACAAAGGCAATTGGCTGGAGTGTGGTGCAGATGTGTACATCAATCCGGCTCTCACGCATTTTTTCTTTACGAGCAAGGGATCTCCGAATGATCATGGCAGGAGCGCCATGGCCAGCCAGTGGCAGTGACTAGGCGGTGGGCCCCCCCGAGCGCCACCCTAAGAGGCCAGAGAAGAACCACCTCTCCACCAACCCCGGAGGACCACCAGCATGGCCACGAGGAGGAAGGGGAAGGTGCTTGACTCCCTGGAGATAGGCGCAGACAGGCGAAGGAGGAGGACGCACAGGCGTGGGAGGGTCACCAGAGTCGCCCACGATGGGGCCAGAGGCGCCCTGCAGACCCTGGAAGCCTACCTGCTTGCCCCGGGTGTCTTGCCTCATTGGAAACGTTGTTATATTTTTTGTTTGTTTGTCCCCCCCTCCCGTGTCAGGGCAGCCGCGCCTCCCCACGGCTAGCGCCTGGACCCCTTCGCGCCCGCGGTGAGTGCGGGGCGGGAACGAGGGCGCGCTCCGAAGGAGCGGGGGGTTTTCTGCCAAAGCCAGGCAAACCCCGAACCTACAACCAGCTGCTACCCGCCACCGCGGGCCGCCCCTCCCGTCGCAGGCTCAGCCGCTGCCGCCGGCCCGCCGCCGCCAACCGCAGCCGGCCGCCGCCGCCCCCCGCCGCGCTGGCGTCCGCGCGGGCTCCCTGCCCGCCGCTGTCGGGCGCGCCCGCGCGACAGCAGGCGGCGGCAGCGGCCCAGTCTCCGCGGCCCCCCTCTCCTCCTCGCCTTGTGGCGCCGGCGGGGCCCCGCCCGCCCGCCTGCTGCTGCGGCGGCCCGCCAAAGCGCTGGGGCCCCACCAGCAGCCGCCCTCCTCCGCCGTTGTGGTGGACGGGCCGCTGGTGGTGCTGCTGGCTGCCGCCCTGGTGGTGGCGCTGCTGGTCGCTGTCGTGGTGGTGGTGCTGGCGCTGTAGCTGCGTGCTGTCGCAGTTGTGGTCGTGGTTGTCGTGGTGCTGCTCCTGGTTGCCGTGGTGGTGGTGGTGGTGCTGGTCGCCGTGCTGGTGGTGGTGGCGCTGCTGGTCGTCGGCGTGGTGGTGGTGGTGGTGGTGATGATGCTGCCGCTGCTGCTGCTGCTTGTTGTCGCAGTTGTGGTCGTAGTTGACGTGGTTCTGCTGGTCGCCGTTCTGCTCCTGGTCGCTGTCGTGGTGGTGGTTCTGGTCGCCGTGCTGGTGGTGGTGGCGCTGCTGGTCGTAGTCGTAGTGGTTGTGGTAGTGGTGGCGGTGGTGGTGATGGTGGTGGCGGTGGTGGTGGTGGTGGTGGTGGTGGTGGTGCTGCTGCTGCTGCTTGTGGTCGCTGTAATGGTAGTGGTTGTCGTGGTGCTGCTGGTCGCCGTGCTGCCCCTGGTAGCCGTCGGGGTGGTGGTGGTGCTGGTCGCCGTGCTGGTGGTGGTGGCGCTGCTGGTCGTAGGCGTGGTGGTGGTGGTGGTGGTGGTGGTGGTGGTGGTGGTGCTGCTGCTGCTGCTGGTTGTCGCAGTTGTGGTCGTGGTTGTCGTGGTGCTGCTGGTCGCCGTGCTGCTCCTGGTCGCCGTCGTGGTGGTGGTTGTGCTGGTCGCCGTGCTGATTGTGGTGGCGCTGCTGGTCGTAGTCGTAGTGGTGGTGGTGGTGGTGGTTCTGCTGCTGCCGCTGCTGCTGCTGCTGCTTGTTGTCGCAGTTGTGGCAGTCGTTATCGTGGTTCTGCTGGTCGCCGTGCTGCCCGTGGTCGCCGTCGTGGTGGTGGTGGTGCTAGTCGCCGTGCAGGTGGTGGTGGCGCTGCTGGTCGTAAGCGTGGTGGTGCTGATGGTGGTGGTGGTGGTGGTGGTGGTGGTGGTGCTGCTGCTGCTGCTTGTTGTTGCTGTAGTTGCAGGCGTGTTGCTGCTGGTCGCCGTGCTGCCCGTGGTCGCCGTCGTGGTGGTGGTGCTGCTGGGCGCCGTTCTGGTGGTGGTGGCGCGGCTGGTCGTCGGCGTGGTGGTGGTGGTGCTGCAGCTGCTGCTGTTTCTTGTCGCCGTAGTGGTCGTGGTTGTCGTGTTGCTGCTGGTCGCCGTGCGGCACCTGGGCACCGTTGTGTTTTTTTTTTGGCCTCCGCATCGGCGGCCACAGGTCGGGCGCTCGCCGCGCGCCGCGCGCCCGGCCCGCGGGCCCCCGCGGCGCCCCAGCGCGTCCCCCAAGAGAGAGGTGGACGAGATGGGGCGCAGGGTGCCCCCGTCTAGGGTCGGGTCTTTCACCGCCCTTCGCAGGGACCCCCGACGCAAGATGAATACTCGCAGCCCGCGCCGATCCACCCTCCCACGTGCACCCCGAGATGACGGCACCAGCCCTCAAAAAAGCGAGTGGCTGGCCCCACCACCCCAAGGGAGATGCATGGGGGTTGGCCCTGCGCGTGCGGCCAGCAAAAAGAATGGAGAGCATGACAAACAACAAGAAGGCGAACAAGGACAATAGAGTGCAAAAGCAAGCAACAAAAAAGAAGGCATAGCATATGCATCGGGTAGGACAAGTGGCATCGGCCCAAGACAACGTGCCCTGTGAGCGGTACAAGATATCCAAGAACGACGACAGCATCCTGACTGTGAAGCAGGAGCAATAATAACAAAATATGGGAGCGCAGGAACAAATAGAAAGCGGAATGTGAATCAGCACAAGCACAGCAGGGTAAAGCAAAAGCTGCGAAGAGGGCCAACCACAGAGAGGGGCAGATGGAAGACGAAGAAAAAAAAGATGAAGAAGAAGAAGAAGAAGAAGAAGAAGAAAAAGAAGAAGAAGAAGAAGAAGAAGAAGACGAAGAAAGGCACGAACGAAGGGAGGGGCAGGGACAGCGGGAAAGGGGGAAAGGGAGGGGGAGGGGCGCAAGGGGGAGGAGGGACACGGCAGAAAACGCGGGTTTGGCCTTGGGGATAGGGGTCCACTCAGGAATTGCCCTTG